ATATTGCCATACAAGAGAACATCTCTCCCTGCCACAGTGATACAGGTCTTTCAGCTTTTGTTTTTCAAAAAAATGGTGATGTAAAATGTATACATTATGAAATTGATAGCATTCATATCTATTGAATAACTGAATGTCATATTTTACATTCATACTATCTGAAATAATACATAAAATTAAAACCCTGGATCTAAATAAATACGGAAAATTCCTTCAAATTAATACAGTACATTGTGCTCTAATTTGTGTATTTATAAACATTTTTTTTTTTTAACCAATGCATTCTCCCTGTTCACTTGCATTGTAAGTGTACTGCACTTTTTTTTTTTTTTTGGTGGAAATCAATGGCATGTCACAGCCTAAGTTGGAACATTCAACAAATTAGTTTTACGATATGGTGTTGTTCAGTCCACTGAGTGAATATGACAGTGTTGTTTCACTCCGCAATACATTAGTAGAGCTTCAAATGACATCAAACGAAATCAGATTCCCTCTAAATCAGGTGGATTTGTCCTTGCATTTCATGATGTTGATAGCAGCATTATCTGTGGCAGGGGATTAAAAGATATATAGCACTTGGGAGAAAGGGCAATAACGTTTTTATACAGCCAAAGTATATCATGTTATCTTGAGCCTTTCATCCTAGCAGGATGTTGCTCTTTCTGGCCGGTGAGATTGCTACTTTGCAAAGTTCAATCTCTAAAAGCCATGACACATTTAAAGCTTGACCACTTAAGCTTGTCTTTGTCTAAGTAGTCAGACCTAGAGAAATCCCTCTTTCTGTCTGCACGTCTGTATATAAGTCATGACACATTTAAAGCTTTGGACACTATTTTGTCTAAATGGACAGACCTTTATACCTCTCTCACACACATCCTTTATTTCCCTTTCCTTTTTGTTCCTCTATGCCTGTATTTAATAGCTTTATTAAACCAAAGATCAATAAGTTAATTTCATTGGCATTCACAGCTTGAGGTGTTAATGGGCTGGTCAGAGTGATCAACATGACAGCTGTTTCAGTGAGTGCCCCTTCTGCAGATCTCCTGAGTTAAACCTCGCTGCGCATCCCCATAATGCTCAGCAGTTATGTAGATCCTTAATTTATGACTGCACTCATATGGAGCACATACCTGCATTTATACAGAGCAAATCCTGTATTTAAAAAGATTAGGGACTTCATTTGATTCACAGATCTGATTATGGGAAATATGCAGCCATTTCGCAACTAGGGATGAAGACAAATTGCAATAAAAAGTGTTATGCAATGTTATAACCACATCAGTCTATCTCAAATGTTGTCTATACTTTAAAAATAACTAGATAACACTTTCCTCTGTAATTGTGAGTGGTACTATGCAAAAATTGCTGTCGTGATGCTCTACTGTTGTGGGTGGTTGCTTGCTTGTTTGCACAAGATATCTATGATATTCTAGGGCCAGACTCACAAAAATATTCCTAGGAAGGAAGTTATGAAATTTCTTAAGACAGATTTTAAGAACTTCACAACGTTATTCCAAAATACAGAGTTTTTTCCTGGCTCAAAATGAGGCCTTCAATTGGCTTAAGCAAACACTTTATACAAGTAATGTTTTTTTGGTATATATATATATATAGAAGCTTACCTGTACTCTAGCACAACAGCTAAGGTACTCATTTACAGTTAACAAACCACAAACTTGTTTAAAATCAAATATAACTTTAAAATCAAATAACTATTCACTATTAACTAGTTGCTTATTAGCATTTTTATTAGTAGCATATTAGCTGTTTATTAGTACTTATAAAGCACTTATTAATGCCTTATTTTGCATGACTAATTTCTAGATCCCTTAAACCTAGACCCCATAAACATCCAGGAACTACTACAACAACTACCTCACTTACTATCAATTAGTAAGTTTTGAGGGAGAACTCTTAGTTAATAGTGAATATGTGTTACCTAACTTTGTATTTACAGTTCACAGTTAAACATTTTAAGCCTTTGCTTTCATTTACATATTTCACAACTAGAAGTAGAACTTAGAATCTTGAGTAAAACAGCATATTCACATACAAAATGAAGCACATACAAAAGAACTGAATCAGAAGCAGTGCAATCTGTTTTACAGAATATGGAAGTTTGTTGCGCATAACCTATTAGCATCCAGCTACGTTTATAAGATTAATGCCACGCTTTTACTCATAACTCAATTTTAAACCACTATAATGTTTAACTACCAACTGCAATCTAATGTAAATGTTTTTATGTCAGGTTTCATGAAAAAAAAAATCCTGTGTTTTGAACGGTTTGGAACAAATGAGGGTGAGTAAATGCTGTCAGAATTTTTATTTTTTCTGAATTAGGCCTAATTTTATTCCTAAGAATGATTCATGAATCTGAACTGTGTTCCTCCTTCAGTGTACTGTAAGTCTAGGTTCTTGATTTGTCATCTGCAAGTTTTATCAGTTACAAAATTAATAGCACACTTCTCCTCAACATGTAACTATCAATTGAGCTATTGTTCATTTTTGTAGCACAATACCTATTCATGTTCAAAAAAAAAAACAAAAACAAACAGCATATTCACTGCTTTGTGGATGCTGATAAAAATGGACAACCAGAATCAGCGATCAGAGCCATGATGATAATGTTTATGGATGTCATATTCAAAACTCCATCAGCTGAATTTGGTATATTTCCATTATTTTCAGTGAGAGGGAAATGAGATAATGAGAGATTGCAAACTGGTTTACATGGGCTGCAGTCCTGAGGTCATGGAGCAGTAATGTGATTTTACCCCAGTATTCTGTAGGTGTATGACTATGATAACCACATCAAGTAGACCTGTGTTTGGTGGGCGACCAATTGTCTGTGGTTCTGGATTTTAATCTGTTTGCTTAGATTACCATTTAAAAGCAGATCCAATCTTGCTTTAATCCCTCCATCCATTTCTGCTATAGTGTTCAGAGATGACTGACTGCTCATTCCCTCCTGTCACTGTCAGTAGGATCGGTAAGTCCTTTTAAAGCAGTGTGGGCTTTTGTTGTAATTCTTTTTAAATCTCAGACTACCTTTCCTCTCAGTGCATCTTTCGTAGAAAAGCAGCAGAGAGATGGAAGTAATATAACAGAGGAATTTTCCTGTTTCCAACTTCAGGTAGCCATTATGTGTTCTTAACAAGCCATAGAGCGACAAGTGGTATATATTCTTCCATAACCAGAATGAACACATTGCTTGATTTCTAGTTTTGCCTCAAACAACAAACACTGACAATTAGAATGTTAATGGACACTGAGAAATATTGGATATTATATAATTAATTCTTCAGGTTCCACATAGAAAACTGTCTGAAGAAGCATCATGACAACACAAGGAATGTGTTGGATTTTAGCTATGAAGCATGCAAGAGAGCATACCACGCTGTCAACCACGCTGTGATGTGTTACTGGCTGTGATTTTGTTGCATCACGTCTGGCAAGGAAAACAGTACAAAGGTGCATTACGAAGTGCCCAAAGTCATTGATTTTCAATGAGGGATTGTGATTTCAGTTGAGTACCTGCAATTTTTACATATTTTGATGCTAAAAAGGATAGGATAAGTTCAGTCAAAACAAAACAAAAAAATCATCACTCACCCTCATGTCATTTCAAAGCTGTATGATGTTTGTTCATTTTTGGAACACAAATAAAGTTATTTTTATTATTCTCTCATAATAGACATTCATAGAGTACATCAAATATGGTAAACAGAAGCTCAGCCATGCTTGTTTGACACAAAATAATCAATTAGGGTTTGTTCTTGCCTCAAGCAAGCACATTTGACCGGGTATATACAGGAATCATGGAGTTAAATTTAATACATTTTAAGACCTTTTTTAAGACTCCATACATTTTAAGACCTCATCGCCACTCCAAGTTTTAACCGGTTACATCGGCGACACTTTAATTTACATTTACTATATATTGATTGTAAGATAGCACAACTAAACAGACTTACTTTGTGATAACTCCTTATCAATACAACATAATTGAGAAGGGGGGAACGAAGCACAAGAGAATTAATTGAGTGACTAAACAGTGCAACCCAAGAAACAAGAATTAGACCAATAAACAAAACAACTGACAAAACTTATTGAGGAGGGAAAATAAAGCTCTCTGAGCTAACGGGGCAATGAGTTCACACAGTATATTCAAAAGATGTATTTGTCACATCAACTCTTATAACTTTCTGCAAACCATAGCTGTTTTGTGGAACACTTCTCATGACAAACATCTGACTGGTCAGACAGTTTACTTGAGATTACGGAGTGCTTCATTTGATGCAAACTTGACAGAGTGTCAGTACTGCACCTGATCGTGTCTGAATGATCATGGAAGGTAAAATAATGATCACAACTATTACATCATTTTAATTGTGCATCCCAAGCCCATGCCAGTAAAAAAAAAAAAAACGCCCGAAGTATGTAACCATGTCATTTCCATCCCTATGGGGGAAGTCGTGGCCTAATGGTTAGAGAGTCGGACTCGTAACCCAAAGGTTGCAGGTTCGAGTCACGTA